AATTAATTTATGGAAACTAACCAAAAGGATTTTCCTCATGTAAAAATTCTCATTTAAAGAGATTCCACCGCTTCGCTCTTGTTAAATTGAACCCCGAGCATTGCCAAGCACTGTACCTGCACGTCCTTCGTTGTCCTTTGTCAACATGTTGACCAAACAAACTGAGGTAGCTCCAACCATAAGCCACCGCCCTCCCCGACCAGAGCAGCCTTTGAACTGCCCATAAATGTCAGGACAACAGCAACAATCGCTTAATTCATAATTAAATTAATTGTTGTAATTACTTCATTAGCGTGTGCTTTCACCCACTCGCTGTTCCCCCCGCTCCTTTGAGCCTTCATTAGTGGCAATTCCCGCACCATTACGAGGGGCTGTTCCATTGTTATGTCCTATGTAAATGACAGCCAAAATGCGACACCAGAATTACACAATTAGGCGACATTAACATTTGATGCGTTATGTTTACCGTTTCGTTTAACTGTTTGCTTCTTCCTTTCTTTCTTCTCTTTCCGTTACCGTTCATATCTAGCCCGCCCCAGGCCACGACCCCTGTGTGGGGGACAGTATCTGCTTATATGTAGCTTGGGCACGCAGGTCCTAAGCCTTTGTAATCGATTGTTGGCTAATAGAAAATTTGTTTGAGGGGCATTACGGCTATTTTTATAACAAAACACTATCTGGGTTAATGAATGTCGTAAAGTGGTTGATGGTTAATGCGCAGCGATGGTTTCACTTAATTATGTAGAATTATAAAGACAATTGAAATTAATAACTTATATTTGTACCTAAAAGTCTACTTAGATTAAAGGCAGGCAGTCTTTCGCACCACAAATAATAGGTAAAATTATATATTAATCTGATCTTAAAGGAACATCTAAGTGTTTACTATCGGTTAAGCATTGGAAGGAAATATAAAATCCTCTAATGTGTATGTCATAAGACATTTGCATTTCAGACTAGTCTTAGTTCATCTAATCATCTACTAAACTGAAATCAAATCCAATTAAATTCGATTTAGATTTGGTTCAATTTATCCCCCTTTAACACTCCATTCCACTTCGTTTCTCTCTGCACTTTCCAGATGCATTCATCCAACATTCATCAAACATTCACAAACATGGAGCATTCAATTAAAATTTGTTGACCATATTAACTAAAACATCAATCGAGGGAAACTCGTTCTCCAATCCCCTCCCCCTCACCATCCCATTCCCCTTACCGCCTCCTTCGCAAAACCTAAAACCAGTTTCCCTGCCATCCCACCTCGCACTGTGCTGCGCTGCAGCCACACACCACGGATAAAACTCAAATGCAAGAGCAGCAAAGAGAGCGAGCGGCGCTTAAGAGAGAGCGCACGTTGAAAGAGTTTTGTAGAAAAATAAAAACTGTGCCGCGAGAGAGACGAGACACACAGGCACACAGAGAGGGAGAAGGAGAGCGAGATAGAGAGAGCGAGATAGAGAGAGCGAGAGCGATGCTGTGGGTGGATTTTTCTTTTTTCACCAAGTATTTTCTTTCTGTTGCTTTTGGCGCACGATTCGTAAACAAATTCTGTGATTGGTTGGAACCAGTCTTTCCCTCTCTCTGACTGAGTGTCTGTGTGTGTTCGCGTTTGGCTGTGTGTAGTTTTTTGCCCCACGTTTTCCTCTTATTAACGCGTTTTTGTGATTGGGTTTGGGTGCTGCAAAAGCAGCGCAGTCAGCGCAGTTTTTTTTCTTTATGCTTTTCCTGCTATGTGTGTGTGTATGTGTGTGAGGAAAATTGCCTATGCGCCACCCCAAACTACTATGCGAAATGACTGTAATGAGCGAGTGGCAGAATGAGCGACTGAGAGAGAGTCGACTGTGGGGCTGGCTGGCTCTCTCCGTCTCCCTTGCACATTACACATACGCCGCGTTATCTATGTATGATATATCTCCCCTCTCCAACCGCGTGCCATAGTTTTCCTCTTGTTGCTTTTTCTAACTGCATTGCCGTTGGCCGCTGCTGCTGCTGCTGCTGCTGCTGCGGCTGCTGTTGCTGTTTCTGTTGCTTCCTCTGCCGCTGCTATGGCTCTGTTAATGTTTTTTGCGTGTTTATGTTAATCGGCGACGCTGGCAGCGGTGCAGCGGCAGAGGCTTTGCTTAGATGACGCCTCCCACCGACCGACCACCCATCGCTGTACATACAGAGTATGTACAGAGTGCGTTGTGTTTTTTATGCATTTACTGGGCGCACATTTTTTGTTGTTTCATTTTTGTTTGTTTTGTGGATTGCCTTCCGTTTTAACTTTCTGGTTTTTTTTTCTACGGCCGCAAATGAAAAACTGTTCACGGCGCATGCTAGAGTGAGATAGTTGGAAGAAAACCCCATTTTTAATTGCAATTTTTCATTAATTAAAATTTGCTTAGTTTGCATTTGAAAAGAGATTCGAAAAAAAAGGAAAATTTGTATGGATTTATTGTGATTGAAGGTGCAGCAAATTGAATGTGTTTCCGCTTACGTCCATACCGTTTGAGTTACAAAATGGACTCCTGAAAGAGGCCGACAGAAATGTCAAAGGCTGTGGGGCAAAGCCGAGAAAATAAAAAGAAAACCCAAATACAGTCTCTGATGGATGCCTCAAATCTGTCGGATTATAGGCCAGGAAACTGAAATTACGGTTCATCGATATCATGAAACGAAAAATATTTTTTCCACATTTGTTTAGCGATCAGAAATGAGAGTCAAAAGAGTTCGCCAACTTTAAAGGCTCGATTTTTATACATATGTATTATTACATAGTTAGAGATATGCAGTTATTTTTTGTATTTGTATCATATAATTCAATGTACTTCAAACACGATTAAGGTAAATGTACAAATGTATGTAAAGGTATATAGATATTCTATCCTCTAGCCTCTAGCCATCCATTGAAAGCCTCCCTTTATGTATATGCATCTGTTTTTTTATCCGCTATTCTGTCAGAGTTTCAGTTTCCCCACTTCGTCCCATAGTAGTTGTTTCTATACAAAGCGTGTTGCCCACTAATTTGTGTGTGTTGCACGCTTTCCATGCCTAGTTCCTGTTACCAGCTAACGGCAATTAATGATATGGCCACAGAGTCACAGCCGCATCAAATGACAAGGCCTGGGAAAATACATTCCACCGCACAAACACACTCACACAGACACATAGAGGCAAACAAAAAGAGAGACACAGAAATATATAGAGAGATAGAACCATAAAAACCCAACCCAAAACCAAAACCAAAAGCAACCCAACTGAAACCCAAACCCAATCACACGCCCAGTCCTGCACTCGACAGCCAACCAATGCATGAAAACGCATTTTCCTCAACGAAAAGTCAAAAAGTGCGTAGCGCAGCCCACCCACCAATGCATAAGCGCAGATACACACACACACACATATACACACACATACCATCACCATCAGATGTGGCAGAGGGAATGCGATTGGTGGAAAGCCAAAACGACCAGAAAAAACTCTAACACATAAACGCGCTGCAGGGCAGGGACGCGAGGGGAACGAGGCAGCCGACCCACACCGACCGCAACAATACAAAAGTCAAATTAGTGGAAAATGCAAATGCATGACAAAAAAATTCCGAGTGCCATCAACAAAAAAAAAAAAAAAGTATCCACTTCAAATGGAGCAACAAAAAGTGTGTGTGACACTAGAAAATATAGACATGGTTATGTACAGAGCAGAAACATAAGCAGAAGCAGTGGGCATGGGGAGGTGAGGCAGGGATGACAACAAAAAGTGTGGCTGCAAAAAGATAAAGAGAAAATTGCTGCCATATTATAATTACACAGCTCCGAGCGGAGCAGAGGCAAAACTGCTGCATGCTTTTAGGCGCTGATTTTTGGTATGCTCGCTTGTGTGCGTGAGTATTTGTATATGTGTGCTGATATTTTTGAATAAAGTCAATTTTTGATAGACACATTGGCCTGATATTCATCAGCATTTACCCGCACCTTTTCAGCCATGATTGCTTTAGTAGCCCCCTATTAATGCATTTTTTATTCCACCAAAATTTAAAGCCATGCCGTGGCCCTATACCGTTTTCATTGTATTTTTAAGAAATTTGGTTAAGTTTTTCCATAGGTATGTAGATTTTCCAAGACCATGCGAGTATTGTGTACACAAAATTAATTAAAGACCAACAAACATTTTCGAGGGGAGTACTTGTATTTTCGCCATGAATTTTTATTTATTTCTTGGCAGTGAAATTTAAAGAAACACTTCAAACCAATATATTTGCACAAGTATTAGATGATAAATAAATTTGAATATTAAACAAAAAATATTCCCACAAAATGCTAACTTTAAATTAAGATTTATAACAATTTTTCTGCCTCAAGCTAATTGGCTGGATAAATAAAAAATAAAAATTGCTCCGATTGTGGTACACAATTGAAAAGATAAAATTTTGCTTTTTATTTTTTCTCTCTCTCTTTATTGTAATCGTAAATTTCTTGGCAAATATGACCAAGGGAAAAAAAACAATCAGTAGCTACTTTCCTGGATCTGGTTTATCTTTAGCTTATCAGGTGGGTTAGCTGGCAAACAATCGTAGCAGGAAAAGTGAACCCGTTGGAACAGATCTACGTAGGTTCTCGTCGTTATTTGCCTCTTAATTAGAACGTATTATTCAAAAAAATGTTTATTTACCCTCGGCTTATGCCTATCGCCAGTAGCGCAGCTGGTGGATAACCCTACTCGATCTGGTGCTGGAATATAAGGCACGAAACATGACAGAGTAGACAGCATTGGCACACAGTAAATGCAGTCACGTCTTATCTAGCAAATGGAATAATGCCAGCGCAGCTATTGGCCAAGTTCAATGATTGAGTAGTTGTGCATTGACCAAGGTCAGTGGGGGGAGTTGCCGGTGCCGCATAACATTGTATTTGAACAACTTCCAACTGTTTTATCAACTGTTGGAACGCGGTCTTTTTTTTTTTTTTTAATTAACTTTGGCTTTGTCTCTGGTATTAGTTGTGGGTGGCATTATCGGGCTGGCCCAGTTGAGTTTTGGCTGCGAAACCGTAAGGTCTGCCCAAAATGTTTAGCCGCTGTCTAATTATCACGGAGCTTCTGCTGCTCTTGGCGCTGTCTCCCGTCGCGCTGGCCTACTTCGAGGGCTGCGATAATACGTACAACCTGAATCCGGGCACAACGTACGTGGAGTCCCCCTACTATCCCAGCAGCTATCCCGCGGGAACATCCTGTCGCTACAAGTTCAAGGCACCCGTGGACTATTCCGTGCAGGTGCAGTGCACCATTAGTCTGCCCCAGAACAATGGCCAGTGCAGCTCGGACAACTTCTGGCTGGATCCCGAGGGAGACCTGTTGATGCGCGGTGCCGAGAACTTCTGTGGCAGTGGCAACTTCGCCAGGGAGTCTCTCTTCACCGAACTAGTCTTCGCCTACATCTCGACGGGCGGGCAGGGGGGCAACTTCAAGTGCACCCTGACCACAGCCAGGCAGAACTGCAACTGCGGCTGGTCGATCAACTCCCGCATTGCCAATGGCCAGCAGGCCGCGGACAATGAGTTTCCCAGCATGGTGGCCCTCAAGGACGTCACCAGCCAGCAGGCTTCCTTCTGCGGCGGTACCATAGGTGAGTGGGGGCGGGGGGGGATTCTGGGGAAACTGACTCACAATTGGCATCCATCCTGCGTTAGTGTCCCATCGCTACATCCTGACCGCCGCCCATTGCACGCTGCAGATCAAGCAGGCCATCAATATTGTGGCTATTGCCGGAACCAACAATCTTCAGAACCGTAAGTGATGGGAAATCCAAGCCAATACGAGACATTGCCTAAGCACAGACTCTTCTGCTCGAACAGCTTCCAGTTCAAGGTACTACCAGCAGTATGCCATACAGCAGATGATAACCCATGAACAATACGAGGATGAGCCCGATGTGAAGAACGATATTGCAGTTCTCATAACAGCCAGCAACATTCTTTGGTCACGTGGTGTGGGTCCCATCTGCCTGCCGCCTGCTGGCACGTGAGTACACAGAATCCCCCCTCTCTATAGAGCTCTCCCTTTCGCCCTCTCTTTTTCTAAATCGAAATCCTTGTGCAGCTCCCAGACATTTTCGTATGAAACTGTCGATGTGATTGGCTGGGGCACACTCTTCTTTGCCGGACCCACATCCGCCAGCATGCAGAAGATCAACCTGATGGTGGTGAACAACCAGGACTGCCAGACCGAATATAACGATGTGGCTGCAATATATCCAAATCAGATTTGCACTTACGACTACTCGGGCAACGCCCGCGACTCCTGCCAGTACGACTCTGGCGGACCCGTCATCCTGCGCTCCTCCAAGCAGTTCCTGCTCGGTATCATCAGCTTTGGCAAGAGCTGTGCCGCCAACTCGTATCCCATGGGGGTGAACACACGAATATCTTCCCACATCAGCTGGATACGTCAGAAGATTGGCTACTCCAATTGTGTGGTCAGCCTCTGAGACGAGAATAAATGTGTGTGACTGGGAACTTGGTTCGTTGAACATTCGTTTTCTTTTTAGCCTTAAAACCTCCCTTCAAGGTCATGTAAATACTAGCCGGGGTAGTATTTCCTCACCTTGACTTCAATCTCTACTTTGACTATGGCCAATATTTGTTATTTCCCAAAGATATGTGAAATATTCATTCTTATCTGCTTAAGGTAGTCCTATATAAAGTGGATCTGTAAGTGCTTCAGATTTATAGTAACATCTGCTGGCGTTCCATCATGTTCGGGCTGAAACTTTTCAGTTTTGTTGTGGCTTGTGTCGCCATCAGTGCATCATCAGTGTACGGACAGCAGCAGTGCACCAGACAATATAATTTGCTGTCGAATCAAGTGATTAACATAACCAGTGCCAACTTTCCGGGCGCCCTGCCAAGTGGCAGCAGTTGCAGATTCCGCCTGAGAGCTCCCAGCAATCATGTGATCCAATTGAGCTGTCGCTACGAAGTGGTGAGTTCTGGAGTCCTGTAACGGGATCTATGATTCTATCTCTGACACAATCATTCCCCGGCTAGTATCCCGATACTTGCGGCTCGGAGTTTTTGTTTGTCTCCCGCGACGGTGACTTGCAGTTCCGCGATGGTGAACGGTACTGCCGCATGGGCCAGATATCGCGTACCTCCAACTTCCAGTCCCTGGCCCTGGCCTACTACTCGAGCAGTGCGCAGAGCCGCCAAAGGGCGCGGCTCAGCTGCCAGGCCGTGGCTCGTCCGGCGCCCTGCGACTGCGGCTGGTCGTATCCCAATCGCGTTGCCAACGGCGTGGAGACGGCCAAACACGAGTACCCCTCGATGGTGGGTCTCAGGGACTTGGCCTCCACTCTGCCCATCTTCTGTGGCGGAACGATCGTGAGTGATCGGTACATTGTGACGGCTGCCCACTGTACGGTGCGTCAGCCGGTGGCCACTCGCTTGCTGGCCCTTGTGGGCGAACACGATCTCAGCTCGGGTGAGTGGTCCGGAGGGTTGGGTTCGGAGGCAGTCTGTGCGATTCTAAGCTCCATTATTTTTGCAGCGAGCGAATCAATCTATGCTGCCCAGCACCGAATTCTCAGTATCATCAATCATCCCGCATACACGGTCACCAACTCCGGAGATCTCAATGATATTGCACTGCTGCAGACGGCCACACCCATGGAATGGTCGAGGGGTGTGGCTCCCATTTGTCTGCCCATCCGGCAGTCGTAAGTGCAGAAATGTATACTGACTTTTATAGGCTTCAACATTCCCGTTAAATCCCACACAGCGACAGTACATTCAGCTACCAGAACGTGGACATTACCGGCTGGGGCACTCTGGGATTCGCCGCCGCCAAATCGAACACTCTGCAGAAGGCCACGCTGCTGACCATGGAGAACTCGGTGTGTCGGCAGCAGTACAACTCCAGCATCGCTGCCAGCCAGCTGTGCACCTACGACTTCAGCGGCCGGGGCCAGGACTCCTGCCAGTATGACTCTGGTGGCCCAGTTATCCTGCGCCAGCGCGAACGAATGTATCTGCTGGGCGTGATCAGCTACGGGCGGGCCTGTGGACAGCCCTATGGCATCGGTGTCAACACTCGCATCACCTCCCACATCAACTGGATGTGGCGCTATGTGGGTGGGGCGGTTTGTGTGCGTTAAGGATGTGCAGCATTGATTGCTGTTAAAACACAGATACGAACGCCACACACACACACACATACACATATATATCTAAAACTATATACAGCTATTGCTTAGCTCCTTGGCCTCGGCCTCGAGCATCCATCGTTGTCATCGCAGTTGTCTTGAGTTTGCCAAAGTGTTGACAAAGGCCTTAATTTGCATTTAAATTAAAAAGCAGTGACATGTCTTTGCCTACATTTAAACAACATGCAGCAGCCACCCCCTCCCCCCATTCACAGCCACATCCTCAGCTCGGCTCTTACCAATCAAATCCCGCTGGCCATAAAATACCGTTAGGCATGGTAGTTATTTTTATAAGCAAGAAAGTTTTATGCAATACTCTGTCATCAAACTTATTCGACTTATTCTCGTGTTCCATTTCCCAGCTAAAGAAAAGAGTGTTTGGTGTTCGGCCAGACTATGGAATTTATTTCTAATACTGTTTTGCATTTATTGTAAAATTGCAGACTTCACGCATAATTGTTGTTGTAATTGGGCACTAACTCAATTTACAGTCTCGCTGTTGCTGTTGCTGTTGCTATTGCTCTCATCTCAAATTGCATAAAATTTAGTCAAAGGCTAGGTCCCCGCCTCCGCCTCTAGCTAGTAGCATCCTGCAGCCCTGGCCACACTCGACACTGATGAAAAATTAATAAATGTTCATCTGCTGAAGATTGTTTTGTGCTCTGTCAATTTTTTTTATTTTTTTATTTTTTGTTTGTTTAATTGGCCCAAAAGAATGTCCTGGCCTGAGTCGCACTCAAATTGAATTGTTATTGGCTATAAATTTATTATGATATTTATTTGGATAAATTTCCTGACTTTGTGTATGGCATATGGAAATGGAAAATGAAAAATTCCAAATTCAATGACAAAGCAAGCGCTTGATACCATTGATACTTCATTGCCCCGGCTTCACTTTGTAGGTTTCTCAGTTTCAAAATTGTTGTCTTCCAAAACACTACACAAATTTTTTGTTCGATCTTTCTTTTAAAATTATTAAAATATTTTAAAATTCCTTTTTGCTGTTGTTTAAACAAATCCGAAAATTTGACAAAATTGTTGATTGGTCTTAAAGTTATATTAGATACATTAGAAGCTAAAATTCACAAAATGCCTTCTATCTTGAAAAAACTTCCATCGATGTGCTCGTCGATGAGGCCGGTAGTCACACTGTACCTTAGGTCGTACAGTGGGAATTCATCGATGCCCAATGCGGGGATTAATCGAGCGATGATGAATTTGGGCTTCGGCACCAGGCAGTGGCCCAAGCGAGAGGACTGGTTCGCAGCCCGGCAAATAATGGTGCAGAAACAGAATCAGAACCTGAACCAGAATCGCTACTGGAGCAACAGCAGTATCAATCTGGACAAACCAACGCGCCGACGACGTCGTCAATTTGGTGGATCCCAGGATCTGCCGGCGCACACCATTGGCGAATTCGACACCGAAGTTCGAGCTCACAAGAGGGAGCAACACAGGCAGGCAGCAGGCTGGATGGAGGAGGTTGATAGGAACGAGCAGGCTGAAGATGATTGGATGGCCAGGGCTTCGGCGGCTGAGCAACATGAGCAGCGATTTTCTAACCAGGACCGGAGGGCACAGGCCCTGGTAGCGGAGCGCTACGAAATGGAAGGCGCCAATGATGATCAGCGGGTGGGCACCGTCCGGGAGGTTGTCTTTGGCCAGAAACAAGACGACATCGAAGATGAGGATGAACTGGAACGCAAACAGTACAGTGATGAGCTCTTCAGACGTGTGTCTGCCCAGAGAACCGACTACAATACACCGAGAAAGGCCATCTCCCGCAAGGTCATCTGCCCCTATCCATCTTACAGCTCGCATCGAAGTCGATGGGCGGAGTTCCGTCATGCTATGATCTATGGCCGAACGACCTTCTAGGCTCTCCCTCTCCCTCTCTCTCACTTGCACACCTCTCGGCACTCGGCTCTCGTCTCACTGCCATACTCATTCAGTGAACTTTTCGAGCAGATTTTGACTAAATATAAATATGATTAATATGAACGAGTAATTAGGTTAAGTTTTAAATGGAAATGGGATATTTTGGGTATACTATGAAAAATTAATGGAAATAGTTCTGGGGTTTCTTCATTTTGGAACAGGAACCTCTCCATTTCGGTTCCATGCCTCCAGGGACCCATTGCAGCACTTGGTCTATTTCATGGCGCTGTATTTAATCCTTACCTCCTTCACTGCAATCAATTCCTTTAAAACCTGTCTCAATTATCTGCTCTCCATGCCTCTAAGCTTTGACCCCTTTGGTGCAATTCTTCCTCAATTCGTATCTTAAATTCCATCTCATTCAGTTTATTATTATCTCAAGGGTTCTTAACCCTTTCTGCTACTTAACACGCCGGTGTACTCGCACTCTCCACAAACTAGCGACATACTTTGGCATATTTTCGCATCCTTGCGATGTACGCCAAGAACAACACAACAAAACGAAAACAAAAATAACAAATAACAAAAAGAAACAAGGAAAATCCCAACAAGTGCGGCACGAAAAGTGACAGAAGAGAATGACGCGGGGGCGGTGGGGGCTAAAATGGATAGAGGAAAGAGGAACTCAAGTGCACTCAAGTAATATGCTTCATAATTTTTATTGTCAAGCCCTTTTCTTTGGGTTCGGGTGGTGCTGGTGCTGGTGCTGCTGCTGCTGCTGCTGCTGCTGCACTCGACAACAAAAGCTCAAAAGCGCTTGGAAAAAAATGCAGAAAAAAAGGACTTTATCAAAAGCAAAGGCTGAAAATGAAGTGCTGGAGGTGGCTGGCTGCGGATGCAGGCGGAGAGAGGGTACCAACAAAGCATAGAGAGCGAGCACGAGTAGCATAAATTTTATAATATAGAAAAAATCAATGGCAATGGCAACAAAAAATGCAGAGAAGCAAGGACTAGCTTGTCGAGTGCCCTGCCGCCACTTCTCGTCCACAGCACTGTCCTGTCCTACTATCCAGCCTGCCCCTGCCTCATCCCTAGTCCCAGTCCCAGACCGTGTCGGTGTCGGGGCTCCTCCTTTTCGCCGAGTTGCACAATTAACTTGCCCCCGCATATTCTCGGATTTTGCTTCCCGCTCTCGGTTGTTGCCAGTTAATTTTGGTGTATTTTTTTGTTGTTCTGCACATTTGCATTTCTCCGTTTCCATTCACTGCACTTGTCGGCGTAATTAGGCGCCGCCCAGCCTCTCCGGCTTTGATGTATGCTGCTCTTAACTGGGCTAAGTATACCACCCACACCCACCCGCGTGGGGCTTTTTAATTGTTTAATTATGTTTTGTGCTTTGCTCTTGAGTGCCTCCAACATGACAGTTGACAGCAAGTGGGAAAAGGAGGCACCCAGATGGCGTGCAACTTGAGACTAAAGTGCATGTTGCACAGAAAATAAGTTAAGAAAGGGTAGGACGTTAATTATGAGTTCTTCAGCTCCTCTCCACACCAAAGTCGCAAGTTGTAATATTCTTTAGGTGCCTAATTCTTTAGCTTACAAAATCGGTGGCAAAATTAAACATAAACCAATTAAAATTGGTTCGATTAGATTCGATTTGTAATTTATGTTTACTATTAAGCTGTGTCGGATTATAATTTATTCGGTACTTTTGGGCATCTTTGCTAATCTTTATGGCTCCAGGTCGGTTATTTCCTCATTCTGGAAAAGACTTCCACGCCACTGTCGACGCTTTTTCTTGCGTTGCTCAGCGTTCTTGTCCTTCTGCTGCCTGAAGTCCGTCCAATAGTTTCGATCGTCTAGCACGCAGCGATGGGGCAGAAAGGTCGGCTTCGATTCGCTTTTAATTCGAGATTCCAGATGGTCCGGAACAGGTCGAATATGGGAGGCCTCCATCTTTCGTAATTTCAAAAAGCTTTTGATTAGCGTGAGCGGCGGTCGGTCCCTGTTTCCCGTAGACTTAGCTCTGACAGTTAGCCCAAAGCGCTGTGCATGAGCGAGTGCCTGGGAAGTTTTGAGCACCTTTCCAAGAGCTCCTATGCCACGCGAGTTCAACATTATGCGTTAGATGTCTGTTTTGAAATATGTCCAAATATGTATGTACTTATAAATTTGAGAGAAACAAATAGATCGAAAAGTTCAAATTATTTTTTTTGATTGATTTTGCGCTGTTTCTGATTTTAGTGATGCGAAGGGATTTTATTGGCCTACTAGCATCAACGTTGGCTGTAAGCCGAACACACAAACACACACACAAAAAATAAACCCAAAAACGATGCTAATTTCTGACCACGAAACGAATTTATTTTTGAGTGTAAACCAGCCGGATTTTTGTGGCCTATTCCCAAAATCATTTTCGACGACTATTCTCTTTGCATGCGTCTCAAATAAAATGTGTATGGGGTTTTTGCATTTCCCCTTAAATAGTTTTTGGGTGAAATAGTTTTTTGGGAACACCGAGGATTGTGTTGTTGTGTGCAGCCATTTTGTATTTTGGTTGCTGGGGCTTTGTGAGCGACGACGATTTGGCGGCTTTTGTGCGACGCGTGGTTTTATGTAACTGGCCCCAATCCCTGGTCCCCGAAAATCCCTTTCCCACCAGTCCAGGTCCCGTAACCCGTTATCCACCACCCTACCCACATCTCCCCACGTCAATTGCACGAGCCAGCACGTCGATATTTTTGGCAATTTTTTCGACTGCCTCTTGCAAATTGCTTTTTGAGCTTGTTAGAGTTTTTTTCGCCCTCCCCCCACACATGCCCCACACACACGCTAATGAATGGTCAAAGTCTAGGCGGATGCTGCAGTTGCAGCTGCCCCCAAAAACGACAACTAAACGAAAATGTTTAGGCGTGCATTACGACTGCAACAGGAGCGGCAGCAGCGGCAGCAGCAGCAGCAGCAGCAGGAGGAGAAGCAACAGCGGCGCCATTTTTGTAATCAAATGCAGCACAAACTTTATGCAAAGGAAATTGCTGTGCAAAAAAGAAAACCAAAAAAAAGAAATGCTCGATGGAAATGCAGAAGGGTTTGCGCATTCCTTTTCTTATTACAGTGGATAGCCGATATAGTGGATTTAGTCAATCCCATTTCGATATCTGCTGCTACTCGGCAATGAGTCTATCGAGGAACTCTGTTTCCCTCCAATCACAAGGATGTTTAGCTTTTGCCTGAGTTGGAAATTTCACTGTACCTGCCACATTGGCTGATACTTGTATCCGCCCGCCTGCTTTTAGTGGCTGCTGCTTTTCAATTAGTGCCACCAGCCCTCCCCAGCCTCCCCAGCCCCTACGCCACGCCCCCAAAGTTCCATGCAACACTTGATGCCGCTCGCAGACTGCAGTTGACGTTGGTTTGTTCTACTCGCGTTTCACGTAAATTGAACAACAGGCTTACAAGGCATTCCCAGGCACAGACATATGGATGGAGCGTGCACCTACAAAAACTACAAAAGCAAACATACCGAGGAGGCGCAGCAAAAGCAACAGCAGCAACAGCAACAACAACAACAACAGTCAATACAGTGCAAAAAGGCGAAAATGCAGGCAAGCTTAGTTAGACAGACAAGCGCGGCCCTTGTGGGGTGTGGGAGAGGCATTGAAAAAGTGCAACGCCAGTCCCTGCATACGAGTATGTAGACAAAAAGAGGATTCTCCTCTTCTAAAAATGGAATAAAAAGATGCCCCAAACCACATAGACATCCACCGGCCCTGCCAGCCCCCTTATGCCAGGAGAAATGACAAAACCAAGTTGGCAGACGATGATTCGCGTTGCCTTTAAGCCTAAAAGCGTGCTTCATCTGTTATGCGAATCGTTTAATTATTTATCTGAAAGGAAGCTCCCGACTCGACTCCAAAATAAAGCAACTGAAAAGAATTTGTATTGACAGTACTCTGGCATGGGGTGGTGGCTGGATGCAGAAAGGCAATTGCCACAGCCCTACCTCCCAGTGTTAATTAGTTGACATTTGCTTTTAATTGCATTGCCTGCTCCAGCCAGGTGGCATACAGCTCCAGCGAAGCGTTCCGTTTGGCATGCATCATTGATAGATGAATGGCTGAATGGCGATGCTCGCTGGCGATGAACGCGTTCAGGCAAAGCGACAAACTTGACACCCACTTAAGGGTTAAAGTGGCACGACATGGCAAAAATGGAACAAGGTTCAAATGGGGGGGGGAAGTGGGTTCTGTACTCAGCCTTTCATAGATGCCAATAATGAGTCACAGAATGTTTTCTTTTCGATTTCAACATTTATCACGCCGGAAATCAGATAATTATCCATTTATTTAATAATCCTGTGTTCTGCTCGGACAATAGGCCACCTCGGGAGTCTTTGCGCGTATCCACTTGATAAAGGAGGCCACTCGCGTGTTGACCGATGGCTGGTTGGTGGCGCACGCATGTCCGAAGCTCACAATCCCGACGGCCATCAGGCGACCATTGATCCTCTCGTACAGCGCCCCGCCCGAGTCGTACTGGCACGTGTCCCGTCCCGGCGTATACGTGCAGAAGCTGTGCAGCGGAACACCTGACGAGGTGAGAGCCTCCCGGCAGCGTTGGCCATTGATCACGTCGAGGGTGGTCTTCAGCAGGCGATGGGTCTGTGGTCCGCCGTATGAGGTGGTGCCCCAGCCGGCGGCGACCACCTGGTGTCCCGGCAACGGCAGCTTTTTGCCACCCGTCGCCGTTTGCAGCGGCAGACAGGCTGGTCCCACATATCGACTCCAGGCAATGGGCAGGCGTGTCCGCAGCAGAGCAATATCGTTGCTCAGCTGTCCATTGATCTGGCTGAACTGCTCGTGCAGGATGAGCGCCTCCACGTCGTAGCGGCGGGTGAAGAACGTCTCGTAGATGCTGGACAGATCGTGCTCGCCCACCACAACGCGCAGCAGGGAAGCGCTGCCCGTCTCTGGACCGAGAAAGCAATGGGCGGCCGACAGCAAATAGCGCTGATGGACTGAAAAGGAGAGAGATGAGAGATTGAGATGAGAGCCTCTGGTGATGAGTGAATGCCACTAATGCCACTCACTGATCGCTGCACCGCAAAATATCTTTCC